TTCTGCCAATTTGAATTCATTTAAATTTGTGCAAAACTAAATTTATAAAATTCTGAAGTAAAAACAAACTTATAATATGAATTTATAAAATAATTTAATAATATATTACTAGAAATTACAAAAAGAAGATATTTTACTAATGAAAAATTCATCTATATATAATAAGTAAACTAGAATTTCATTTTATCTTAATACCTCCAAATCAAATAGTAATTAATCAAAAGGAATATTTTTGATTTATATCGCATATGGGAATATCATATATTAATATTTATTGGTTAGTTATTATATACATTCAAATGCATATTTTGCAGAGTTCCTAAAGTAATTAATTCGTATTTCATAAATTAAAGATATATTCTAGTTAAATATAAAAAACGATTTGAAAACTGTGAAAAACTGTGAACTCCAAATTATACAAACTACGCTTTATTTACTGTATTATATAGGTCTGTTTTTCCTTCATCTGCACTTTCCTTTCCCTTCCCTTTACTCTCCCTTTACTTTCCCACTCCTTTCCTTTCCCTTCCCTTACCTTTCTCTTTTCTTTCCCTTTCCTTTCTCTTCCCTTTCCTTTTCCTTTTCTTTCTCTTTCCTTCCCGTGCCTTTCCTTCTCCAACTTTGGTATGTTGAACAATTTGGTACTGAGTATGACACATAATTCTCTCGATTATTGGAGACAGAGAACTTAGTTTAAAACAAAATAACTTCCAGCGCTCTAGGAAAGCTAATTTAGCGCTTCTTCTATTTTGAAAAGCTATTGTAAGAAGTGGTGATTACAGTCACGCATCGTGTAATTGCTCTATACGGCTGTCATAAGGCATATACTGTTGTATGGCATTACAGTATGGTGGACGGTCTGAAACAAATTTTTGTACTGTAAAGTACTCAACAGAGTATTAGTTGTGCATTGAATACCACACCATTTACTTCGTTGGACCTAATGCTTTACTTACCGTCGCTTGATCTTATAAATAAACAAATGATAGCATAATCTACTCTTAAATATGAAGCTACTTTGTGAAATAGGTTAGTAACTGTGGCCATGGCTCCTATTCTAAATCTTTTCAGTCCTACTCCAAAATTCAGTAAATTCATCTCTTCCACTTTAAATTTCGATAGAAATTTAATGTGCAGTTCCCATCTAGAAACATCTGACAATCGGAATATTTCTAATTAGGAGAAAGTTCTGATCACTGCAGTATTTCTCAGGTGAAGGTGATCGCTATTGAGGAAACTATAACGTGTCTAATAGTGGATAATATATTTAATTGGAATCCATAAATAAAACTTTAATAGCATAAAAAACAAGATTGAAGTCGTTGCAAATTTGTTGTTTTCTGATTTGTGCATAGTTTTAACATTTACATTGTTGCATTTTATTCTTTTGTGCCCCTCAACTCAACTTAAATGTACACATCACTTATTGAAAAATAGAATGAAATAAAACAAGCAAAATTTCAGTAAAAGGCAGAAATGCAACAACAAATTATATTGTAAAATTAATTTCTGCGCTAATGCACTATTGAAAATAATAATACATTGTGACCGAAAAGTTTCCGGTCACATAAATAAAACGCAAAATTCTTAATCTTCATCAATATTTATTTTATCTCCTTCAAAATATGCTCCATTAGAAGCGATACACAAATGCCAACGTTTTCTTCCAATCATCAAAACATTTTCTTATAGGCGCTTTCCGGTATGGCTTTGAGTTCCCTCTGCGAATTCTGTTTTACGTCTTCTATGGATTCAAAACGCGTTCCTCTGAGTGGTAATTTGAGGTTGGGAAACAGGAAAAAGTCACACGGTGCAAGATCAGGTGAATACGGTGGCTGTTCGATGGTATTTATTGAATGTTTGGCCTTAAAATCGTTGATAATGTTGAACAAATTGAGGTGAATCGGAACAAGCCGGGCGTTGACACGTCGCATACACAAATTGTCCACCAAAATCAAACGAGCCATCTCACGACCGATGCCTAGCTCTCGTGCTATCTCTCTAACACTCACATGAGGATTTTTGAACACGATTTCCTTTGCCTTTTCAATGTTTTCGTCGGTGGTAGAGGTCGAAGGTCGTCCAGAACGCGGCATGTCTTCGACGGTCGTACGACAGTCCTGAAAGGCTTTGTACCACTCATAAACTTGAGTTTTCGATAAAACTGATTCCCCATAAGCCTTTTGTAGCATTCGCAACGATTCTGCACACGAAATTTCGTTCGAAAAACAAAATTTGATGCAAACTCTTTGTTCAATATTTTTTTCCATTGTTTTTTTCGCAACGCACTACTGAGGTGAACTGGTTTCAACAGCTGCCGTAAACGAACTGTCCGAC